CTTGAAGATCAACCGGAGGTGTTGGAGAAGAAGCATGGGAATCCGTTAGTTTGGCCATAAAGTCCGCTGCCATATTTGCTTCCTGTGGAATTAGCTTGACCAAGCTTTAGCACATGATGCAACAATAGATCTTACTAGGAAAAAAAAAAGCTCTCGGACGCCGGTGGAGACAGGAGATCATGAACCTCCGCATTATCCGTTTAAACTATAAGATGCTCAAAACGATTTGCCCAAACGAGCATCATATCCTCATAGGTTATATACTCGTGTGTTTATTAAAAGCCAAAAGAAAGCTACTTGTGTGGTCTCTAAAATCCCCCTGCAGCACCAATATTAGAGAATCGGGAGACAGCCCCATCACAATTCAAGCAAATCCAGTCAGGGGAAGGAGGATTCCATTGGATAAATTCATCGAGAGCACCCATGGGAACATCTCGAGAAGTCATGGAATTTTAGTAATGCTTCGACCTCCAAATTTCAAAAGTTTGGAAACAATTTTTGATGTGTGTTAATGGATGGTGAAAACAAGAAAGTCTGAGATTTATTCTCTTGTATACATAGTGGGGACTCTTATTCTTACCCTTCCAATTTCTACAAATACTACGGAACGGTTTTTTTCAGCGATGAACCTTGTTAAAAATAAGTTTTGTAACAAAATTGAAGATAAATCCTTATCTAATTGTTTGCTTTTATATATTCAAAAAGAAATTGGTGAAACATTTGATGTAAATTCAATTATAAATGACTTTTGTGACATGAAAGAACGACATGTTTCTTATTTTAAAATTATTTTATTTTGTTGGATTGTTTAGTTAATTAGACTTTGCCCCTTCCGAGCTAGAATCCTAGCCGTCTTTGAGTCCAAAAATCTACAGTCCAATAATATTGGAAAGGGTAAAATTAGGCGGTGAACTAGAAAGCTCAATGAGCTTCTTAAAATGTAAAGAAACAAATAGAGATAAAAAACATCAAGAAAAATTAGATCTAAAAATATGACCACTATCTCCATCTAACCACCAGAACTTTGCGAGTTTTATAGAACCTTACACCCAACTATACCCATGGTAAAGAATTACCTTTTGCATACAGTAGAAGAACATACAATATGAAATTATCCTTTTCAGACAGTAGCAGAATCAGTAATATTTTTAAATTTGGGCTTTTTGTATTTTTATTTTGATTTTTATAGTATTTGTTAACATTTTTAAAATTTTAATAATTTCTTTTTTTTATTGAAAGATTAAATAAACTCTCAAACTTTTAAATAAAATCAATTATGTTTCTGAATTAGGCCAAAAAATTAATTATGACATTGAACTCGACTAAAAAAAGCTACTCAATCCATCTATCACAATATCATTTACACATGATTGTCATATCACTATCATGAACCATCATGTTAATACAATGTATTATTAACTGTTGTATCAATATCATAATGGTTATCGTAGGTTAAAAGGGCGAAATTGATAATATTAAATAAATTTGAAGATAAATTTAATGTAATAAAAAATAAAATTAATGATTTGAATTTATTAAAAAAAAGAAGTAAAATAACCCCTTAGTCTTTTATAAATGTGTTCCTTCTATATTTTTAAATTTACACGACTGCAATGGTACTTTTACCGCTTGTGTGTGTAACTATATCCATACTTGTATATAAAAAATTTGGTAATGGTTCTAAATACGATTTTAAACATTAATTTATTAACTTGATTTTTTATTATGCAATGAAAACTTATTGCGAAACTAATAAGTAATTAGGTAAATAATTCAAACATGAATTGCAAAATCAGATGGGATCTTTCTATATACATATATATTTGTATATAACACGCTTACAGTATCGGGTGCTCAAACATAAGACCTCTAGAGATAACAATAATCTTTTAACCATTGATATAATTTAATTTATGTTAAGTACGTCAGTTTTTATATATAATTGCTATTGTTTTATAAAATACTTTTTAGATTGGCAATAATATTTTTATTTAGTTCAAAAATTACACCAATTAACTATTTTGATTCTTGTGGTTACATTACATACATACTAAGAATTGGCCTATTACATATTTTTAAACAATCAATTACAGAAATAAAAAAGAATAAAACTTAATAAGGACCTCATAAAAGAAAATATTAATTTTTAGAAGATTTGAGTTGAACCAATAAGTAATCGAAAGATTAGGACTTCAATCATAAATGATTGAAAGAAATAGTATTAGATTCTCTTTAAATATTTAAATTAAATTTGATTCCCGAGTCATCAAATGTTACGAGCGTTTCGGTTGAATCGAATCGTTTTCAAACTGTAAAAAGATTAGGGCAAAAGAAGCGTTAGTATGTAAACAATGATTAGCAAATGCAAGATTACAGAACCTGGAAAACATATATATGTAGCAAAGGGTGGATAAAATCATGACAACTTCTCTCCACTCCCTCTCAAAGGCTTCGAACTGTAATGTTATTTAGAAGTCAGAAGCCTTTGGAAAGAGAGTGAAAAAGGGTCGCATGTGAGCTCAAAAAGCTACTTTGCTCCGCACACAACGCTGCCCCTACTCTCCGGAGATGTTTTCTCTTGAGTATGGAATGAGCTGATGAGTCCCCTTTTATAGGCCAGGTATTCCCTTAATCACCTCATCTCCACCGTGAGTTTTTCAATCCATGAAGAAGCAAATCAATGGCGGAATTTGATCCCAAGGCACATATTCTCACAAGGGTATCTCTCACATTTTGCAGTGCCCAAATGACGAAAACGAATTGGACCCGAAACGCCATTAACATTCATCCATCCATTCATCTCAACAAGGAATAAAGCAGTCTCGGCATCGCCCATTTTCCTTGTCAAATCCACGCAAGAATAATAATATCTCGGGAATCTCCTTATCGAATTAAACATAACACTAATCCCCAAAATGCAAAATATCCATCATTTCTCCATAAACATCTTTATCTTTATAACATCAGCAGCACCTAAAATGAATCAATTAAAGAAATTAATTATTAAAACAAAAGAAAGCAACCTATTTGAGATGCTGAAGTGTTTACATATATTGTTTAATACTTTAGATCACAAAGAAGATATACCTTTAAACTAATATTATTTTCTAGGACGTTGCTTGTTGAGTCCCCGACTATTAAAAGTTATAAATTGGTCACCTGAATATTCATATGTTCAAAACTCGTCATTTTCCGTTAAAAAATTGATGACAATCTAAGATAGATATTAACCTACCGACTGAAATATGTTAAAATCTGATCTCAGAATCTCAAATAGTTAAACAGTTCAAACGGTTATGAGATCTTATTTTGTCATATTTCATTCAACAAGTTAACATCCAACTCAAACAATTGTCCATTTTTTAACGAAAAATAATGAGTTTGGAACATATGAATAGTCGAATAATCATTTTATAATTTTAATAATCGAGAGATTTAGCAAAACAACACCCTATAGTCGGAGATCATTTTATAACTTTTAATAGTCGAGGGACTCAACAAAGCAATTAGTCGGGGACCATTTGTGTATTTTATCCTATTTTAGTGGCAATATTTAGAAAATTTAAATTTGTATAAGCACGTCTTATCTTCAAATCTAATGTATTGAGAAGATTCGTTTGGATTAGTATAAAAATAGAGGAGTTTGAGAGGGTTTAACCTAGTTTATGCTTGTATAAAATATTTAACTAAACTTATTAATCATAGTTATTTATTTATACCAGAAATTAAAATTTTAATGAATTTAGTATCATAGCTCAATTGTAACAACAATTCAATTGAAATTTATTAAAAATACAAATAAGTTAAAATCTAATATGTGACTCCACGTACTTAACCTATATGTTACAATCAGATCACGAGGGTCACATTGGTCGTTAAAGTGACATTTGAAAATAATTCAAGAGTTTGAATCAATTGTGTTGAGTCAATCGATCTTGAATGTGATCAAGAATTGGTTAAATTGGTAATAAAAAAATTATGGATGTCATAATGCCTCGATCGAAAAATTAATTTTAGAGTTTATTTTGATTAAAATTTAAAATTTACTTTTTCATCGAGAAATGTGGTTCGAGAAATTGTCACTAATCTTTGTTTAAGATATGATTGGATCACCTAAAAATATTTGTTGTTTTAATAAAATTTAATCTAAAATTTATTAAAACAACTTTTAGGTATGTGTACTAGAAAATGAGTTCTAGAGTCAGTTATGTGTTGAGAATAATTAACACACACAACGACCTAAAATCGTTACGTAGTCAATTAATTATTATCTTTGCAAAGAAAAAAAAGAATTTCGAACTTAATTTAATTATCAATCTATTTTTCAATTGAATAAATGCAATGTTAGTTAACCAACTATTTGAGAGAGAAAATCCAGCAATTAGTTGCATTTAATTGGAGAGAATTAACCTCCTCATTAATGCCCACATGGTACTAACATCCATGGTGGTAACATCTGCCACTTCTTGATTGATGGACTTAGCAAGTCCCTAAATCGGCAGTATAACGCTAGATGACCTAAAGGGCTGTTCTCAGCAATGACACAAGGTTGCCTTTCTGTTCATGCGTTCGTACTTTCTAGTTAACAAAGTGTCTCGATACACCTTCTCAGTACTCTTAGAAAGAGGAATTTGAGTGAGGAGTTCACGTCGTGTTGTTTATGTCGTTCTTATAGCCTATAGGGGCCATTTGGTCATGCAACTGAGAAGTAGAGCAATAAATTTATAATTTCTTGTCTTTTTCTTTATTTTTGTATCAATGAAACTAATTAGTACACCCATAGTAGCAACTGTGTGTACTAAGGAATAGTAGCAATGGTACTACAGTATTTGCCTGCATAATTTTCCAGACAATTATGAGCCACACAAATGGTGTTTGAGATCAGACGGTCGATCTAAGGACATCATCAGAAAGCCTCTCATCTCACTACCTACGTGTAATGCAACGACTGGCAGAGATCTCATATCTCATAGCACATCACCACCATCTCAGCATTCAAACTGCACCAGCCAAATTGTTCCGTCCAAAGCTAAGGGTATAAGCCCTTGTCATCCAACCAATTCCACAAGGACAACAACAAAATCCTCATCATCCCCTCCATTGTTGATGGTTCAAGGCTTTTCCATCGTATCTTTGAGACACCAATCTCTTTGCATAAAAATTATGCAATGAAGACCCTCAATGGAGCAACTCCAAGCTCGACACCGCTCTCGGTTCTCTCCGAGGGAAGAACAGAAACCAGAAAAGCACCATTGGTCTCCATTGCTTCACCACTCAAACTCCCAAACTCCCCGGCTTGTATTAAGACGCGACCAGTTTTGCAAGAGTGTTTGTCTAGAAGCTTGCATGGGGGTCTAGTGCTACTGTCATCATTTCTCTCCGCTGGTTTCGCTAAAGCTTTGTCATACGAGGAAGCCTTGCAGCAGACTACGGGATCCCCCTCGTCATTGGAAGTAGATCCAAATGGGATTCTTGATAGTTTCGTTGGTTTCGCAACTGAGAATCCCACAGTTGTAGCCGGTGGCATTGTTGTTTTGACAGTTCCATTGATTTTGTCTCAGCTGTTGAAGAATCCAAAGCCATGGGGAGTTGAGTCTGCAAGGAATGCTTATACGAAGCTAGGTGATGATGCCACTGCTCAGTTGCTGGACATAAGGCCACTCAAGGAGTTTAAAGAGATTGGTAGCCCTGACATAAAGGGTCTGGGGAAGAAGCCGGTGTCCATTGCCTATAATGGTGAAGATAAACCAGGGTTCTTGAAAAAACTGTCTTTGAAATTCAAGGAACCAGAAAATACTACCTTGTTCATAATAGACAAGTAAGATTTTTTGAGCTCTAACTTGTGTGTATATTTGTTCATACATGCTAGCATTTTGGGTATGTACATACTTCCATACGAATTAAAAAGGTAAAATATATTGTCATTGTCTATGGCACCTGCATTGCTACTGGAATTCATAGTTGAGGATACAATCTTATTGATGATTACATCTCTGTATCCGAGATTAAATGGAATGTGTCTTGGTTGCACAGAAAATGTGTGCTTGATGGTACAGGAAGAATTCTAAATTGATTGTCTAAGTTCTTTAACTTTGAAGTGTTTCCTTGGAACATATGAAAGCACTGGCTGGCATACATTTTATGTGTAACTATAAACTGAAAAATGTGTTCTCTCTCAAATATTCATTTTGGTTGTAAGAAAGATGAAATTAGAACTTCTGTTTGCTTTATCTTCCAATTTTGTTCAAATTTGTGTTGAAAGCCAGATTTGATGGGAACTCGGAACTGGTTGCGGAATTGGTCACTGCGAATGGATTCAAAGCTGCTTATGCAGTAAAAGATGGTGCAGATGGACCACGGGGATGGGTGGTATTTTCCGATCTATATGTTTTCTTTCATTTATCTTTTTTAACATTGCAATTGCTTCTTTTGAGACTGGTTTCAATTCTGCAGAACAGTGGTCTTCCCTGGATAACACCAAAGAAAGGCCTTGACCTTGGCAATTTAACAGAAGCATTCACCGAGGCCTTGGAGTACGTATCTTTATCTCCTGATTACTTATGCACTTCTAAGATTTTGATCTCATAGGGACTTTCTGGATCATCTTCAGCCTTTCTGATTGGTTTTCTTCTGTCTGACGAATGGTTTGTGATAATCTGCAGGAAGGATCAGATGGCCTATCTGTTTCTGTAGGTATTGCTGCAGCTGCTGGACTAGGATTTTTGGCATTTTCAGAGGTTAGTTTATCACATTTGACTTTGTACTTGTGCTTTCGTCATTATTTTTGTTTTGATTTAAGTTTATATCTATACACAACTCAATTTGTGGCATTCCCATATCTTCTGCAGTTAGACATAATCCTTCAACTTCTAGGCTCAGCAGCTATTGTGCAGTTTGTAAGCAAGAAACTCCTATATGCAGAGGTAAGGCCCCACTTTCTATTCGAGTTATTTTCTTATGCTATTGTGTTGAAAGAACAAAGAACGCGTTAGCTGAACAAAGATGAATAAGCATTGCACAATCCATTATGCAACAATACACTTGGTCAAGAATTTGAACTGTGGAGCTTTGATACCATATTAAATCAAGTGACTGATTGTCCTACAAGCTTAAGCTCATAGGGAACGGTCCAACTGTTATATTTAAGCTCCCAAAGTACATAATGGCTTAACTTGACTTCCTAGTTTCTACCCTGCTATTTGTAACAGGACCGAAAGCAAACTCTGCAACAAGTTGACGAATTCATAAACACAACGTTGGCTCCTAAGGAACTTGTTGACGATGTAAAGGTATCTTCAGAGCATTGATCAGTGTATTGCCAAGAAAATTTATTCCACATTGTGTTCCTTCAAAGCCCCTCATAGTTTCTCAATAATAAAACATTGCTTCATATATATGACAAATTTCTGTATATTTGTATTTACCTGTGATCTCAGCAAATTGGAGTGGCCCTTCTACCTACAAGTACCAATAGCAAGGTTCTTCCTGCACCTACGGAGGCAAAACCTGAACCCAAAGTCAAAGCAGCAGCAGCAGCAGAATCCCCTCAAGTTAATTCGGTTCACCAAACGAAATCCGAGGCAGATGGAATCTCTGGAATTTCTAGACCATTTTCACCATTTGCTTCTGTAATGTACCTTTTGTCACATCATTTGCTATTATATACTTGTATAGAAGCGGGGAAATGCTTATATTTCTTTTGTTTATGGTTGCAGTATCCAGATTTGAAGCCTCCTACTTCGCCTACTCCATCACAGCCTGCCACTAACAAAACCACTCTTTCACCTTCAGAGGCAAAACCGGATCCAAAAGTTGAAGCAGCAGTAGAAACCCCTCTAATTAATTCAGTTCCCAAAACAGAATCCGCGGCTGATGGAAACTCCGGATTCCCTAGACCACTTTCACCATATGCTTCTGTAATGTCACTCTTATTAATCCATGAATTCTCATTTCTCCTCATGCTGATTTATATATTCCTACAGTTTCATGAACAGAGAAAAAAATGCTTACAGTTCTGAATATCTCCATTCTTTATGGTTGCAGTATCCTGATTTGAAGCCGCCAACATCTCCTACACCATCACAGCCCTAGAGATTCATGGTTTCATCAAACTATGCCGGTTTCTACGGTAAGCAAATTAAGAAATTTTAAAGCCATCAAGTAAGTCTTAGCTGGTTTTCAAGCTTAGAAAATGTTTTGTATCAATAAACTAGAAAGAGGGGGGGAAGGATAAACCTCCCAAAAGTCTGCTGCAATCATCTTGTTTTAATTCATTTGGCGTTTTGTAATCATTAGGTATATTATAGATATTACAATCACTACCTTTTGATTTTGGAACTACCCCTTTGAGCATTCGAGTTATAGTTTGAACAAATACTATCATGCAAGTATGTGAACGTTAAAGTGCATTGCGGCGCGTTGATCAGCTGTCGAATGATATTTGGTTTTATTACATTGTTTGAAGTGGATGACTTGTCGTCAGACATAACTCCAGATCATAGAAGGTGAAAGTTCCAATTTCAAACTCGTTGAATGAAGAGTATATAACTCGATAGTGTTAAGCTCCAAGTTCAATCATGTAAAACTTCTCTAATACCATGTTAAACATTGAACACACCCGGAGTAGCTAGAGACACTTGATTCAGACTTCAGACCATTTTTGGTGCATTGCAGGGCCCAAGCAAGGCATTGCCAGTACTACATATAACAATCTTGCTTGCATGGTTTCATCATTGACCAGACTCATGCATTAGTTTTCTTATTGCTTGCAATTTGGCACCCACATTCACATATTTCATGGGTGCCATCCACATTGGAAATACACTGTTCCAGCATGTTGTCAAATCTGAACTATATCACTCTAAATCTAAATCCATGATGTTTTATATGATTATAATTATTGAAAAACAAGATTGTTATGAACTCAAATGAAGAGAGCAATGGACAAAAGCAACAAAATTTTCCCAAACAATTGGTGTACCTCATATGAAAGTTGCCGACTTTTTAAGCTTGTTCCTCTTTTGTCCAAATCTTATTCTCTTCCAGAACTTGCTCCCCAGATATTCTGCCAAGCTACTCATTAGAGGAGAAGATTGTTTAGCTCTGGCATTGCTTGTGGAAGTGTCCGCAATGGCGAGATCGGATGGATAAGAACACCTGGTTCTGGTAGAAGTCAGCCTCTTTGAACTTCCAAGAGATGGCAGTTTCATTAGATGCCGTTCGATCAGATGATTGAGTGATACCAATTCATATGAATCGTATAAAGGGCTGCCACAATCCCATATACCAAATTTTGCTGCTTCTTCATCTTCTTCATTTTCTCTTTGGTTTCAGATGATTTTCCCATTTTAGTTTGACAACAAAAGAAAAGAAACCTGAGATTTACAAACAGATTTACCTATGAATTTATATCCAAATACAGGGAATCTTGAATTTTAAATTTCATCTGGCCTTTCCAAGTTTGCTGGGGCATTCAAAATTTTGCAATGTGGGGAATTTAATCCCTGATTAATGAGTTAAATATCTTTATTTGTTAATATTTGGAACAATTATCAACTTTTAAAAACATACTTAACATGTAAAACAAATTTGTGGAAAAACAGAGAATCATCCCAAATGACACATCCACTCGTTACAAAATTGAGTTTCCGCGATTAACAATTGGAATAGTACCATTCAACTCCATTAAATAAAATATTCGAATATCTGCATTTTTAATCATTATCTTGTCGACAATGTTATGGTATGGAAGCTAAATTGTCCCAACTAGGGTCATCTAGTCAAATATTTCCAAGTACTAGATGATTATTAAGCCATTAAACACCTTTGATTTATTATTATACAACAAATGATGAAAAACTTTTTTTTCATGATCCTTTTGAACAATTCCTACTTAGGAGAGAGGAAACGGAATTTTGCTCCTAATGAGTATTGAACCCGCAATTTAAAGGAGATGAAAGATGTCAACAGAGAGCTTTTAACCACCTGCTATAGAGATTGTGGACTTTCTCGTGATCTTTTATAACTAGAAAGCAGTACTGAAGTAGCTCTTTACAACATTATCACCCAAGATTTGTAACACTTCAATGTTCCTAGGCCCTACACACATCGCGGTGTTTTAAACTGACTAAGGGCAGCTCCTAATCCTACGTAATGATCAAGAATGTTCTGGAAAGTTCCCTTCTGAACAATTCGGAGCTCGAGAGGACCGATGGCATTGACCTTCCGAGAACTAACATAGCCTGCATCAACGAAAGAACGGTCCAAGCAAGTGCAGCATTCTTTCAGTACCTCATCGCCTACTTCCCCATTAATTTCCCAGAAGATAATATAGTGACCGGGGTCTGTCGATAGGTCAACATGACTAGAGAATCAAGCACTTCCAGCTTTTCCTCGGCATTTAACTTGGATGCCGCTTCCACCAAGAGCTGTAAATCTTTCTCGGTGTTCTTGTCGATGTTTATGGTGAGCATGAGATTTCTTCTGCAGACAAATTTCAGTTCCGGGCGAGTTATGGAAGCCAGTAACCTTGACAACATCCCCTAGCCTATACCTGTATAAACCTGTCAATTACAGTTCAAAGGACACAATGAATACTCAATAATTAATATGCAATAACGTAGGCAGTTCTGGTTTACATAATCCTGAACTTTTCAAGCACAATACACAAATACAACCTATGACGTAAAACGGCCGGAAGACAACACGAATTGATTGTTCTGTCTAGGTCCAACATGGCCACGCCCACTTGATGAGAATTTATGTCATGGTCGGGTCGTTTTATTAACAAAGAAACAGACCACAAGTTGCAGACACCGCAAAGTCCGATGCCGAAGAACCTTATGATTCATTTGAACATGGTGGAGACATGGAGTTGAATGGAGATCAAGGAATGGAATGGACGCTCCACGATCTTCTAAAGTAACTATACAAAATGCATTAAAAGAACACCTGCAAAACTAGTGATGATGATCTCGTACTCTTCACCAACCTTAACTTCAGTCAAACCCACTCGTTCGGGATCTGTAGAGAGGAAAGAATTACTAACTTCGCTTTGTACGTGCTCCTCAACATTCTCTTTCAGAGGAATGAATTCGAATTTTCCGATATTCGGAAGTACGACATAAGTAGCCAACTCGGGAATTACATTTGGATTGACATTTGCTCCAATCCACCCCTCAGAAGAACCATAATCAGCACTTAAAAGAGGTAAATCCCCAGCATAATGCCTTAACTTTTTCAGATAAGGTTCCAAGGAACCAGTCATGATCCCGTAGATGTATTTGCATTAGGGAAAAGCTCCGGTACCAGTCCATACCAATTACTCAATCCCAAGCATTTCTCATGAATCAAATCTGCCAGTTGAGGATTCAGCTTCAGCAATTTGGCCATCACCGATCGTACAGAAGGGAAAGTGATCCGGCTCGCGAGCACCCCTTCCCTTATTTCAGCAAAAAGCTCTTCCCAAACTTGCTCGAAAGTTCGAAACGCATGAACAATGCTATGGGAAAAGGTGGAGGAAACGAACTGAATTTCCTCACGGAAAATCAGTCCACATAAAAGATGACAGTACAATGATTGGTGGAAATCAGGACCAATATAACTTCATCAGGGCTGCAACACTGAGATTGCATCGCCTTCATCGCGTGTTTGAGCTGCGGATTGCGAAAGACGTTGGTGGTTGCAGTCCCAGCAATCAAACCCCTTGGGTTTTGCTCTACTTACTACTGTAAATGAATTGCAAAGCCTTCCCATTCTCAATAGGAAAATCTCTGTGTAGCAATACTACAAACAGATTAACATCATCCAACTATATCATAAATTTCAGCAACAAAAATCGATTTATCAACTACATCATTCAATACCTTTTCTGAAAGCATAAGAAGTACGGTATATCTGCAAAGTAGTTTCCATTAATTCGTCATTGAAAGGCACAAACTTGGGCTTTCCTTGAGTGGTGCCAGAGCTGCCGTTTGCAACAAAAATCAGCTCAATCAAACGATAGCAAACAAAATAAAGGTGGAAAAAAAGAGTGTACCTGAGAGAAATGGTGGTTATAGGTTTGCCGGTGAGAATCGGGGAAGAAGAACCATCAACGATTCGTTGAATATAAGGTTCCAAGTCGTTATGGGTGACGAGAGGAACACAATATTTGAAGCTTTCAGGGTCAGTTCTGCCATTGAGGCCCAGATTCTGCAAATACTCGGCGCATCCATTTTCTGCTAGAATCTTCTTCAAAGTGTCTCTTTGGACATTCTCTGCATCTTTAGTCGTAGTTTCAAACTCTTGAATAAGTTCATCAACGTCCAGAAGTTCCATCGTTTCCTTCTTTGGTGACAAAAGGGAGGAATAAGAAAAGGGATCCTGAGAAACAAGCATCCGCGTTTCTAGTCAAAGATTGTAAACCATAAAGAAGTTTCCAGGAAAGTTCAAATTTTCCTTCACAGAATTTTCTAATTGAAGGAATATGAAACGTAAAACTAGTAAGTAAATAAAATTCAACTTCATATCCTGCACCAAACCTTGAAAATTCAAATGAGAAAACTAACAAATATTACGAAAAACAAGATTTTTCAATGAAACGGAATCAGAATGGGGACCAAAGAAGCGGGCATCTGGATAAACCGCGGGGAAAGCCGATTACCTGGGTTTTGTCGACCAAAACATTGACAGAAATAAAAGCTGGAAGCTTCAAAATAGTTTACAAGTCGGAAAAAATGGAGGAGATTTAGTGAAAGACGTTATGCTTTTGTTTTCTTCTCACCCATTGATCGTTTTATAATGCGTCATCTCATAATATTTTGGAAACTTTTTTTTAGTACAAAAATATTATATCGATTATAGGGATATTATTTTATTAAGTATTTCTATTATAAAGTATTATTTTGTTAATTTTTTATTATTAAAAATTATAAAATATCTTTTAACTATAGGTCCTTCAATTATTAAACGTTATAAAGTAATCACTCGACTATTCACATGTTATAAATTCATTTTTTTCCGTTAAAAAATTGATAGTCGTCTAACTTGTAACATGTTAGTTAGAATATAATAAAATCTGATCTTAGAACAGTTTGAGCTATATTTTTTTAATTGAATATTCGTTTATATTATATCGTCGAGTCAATACTTGAAATATTATGTCCATCGAGTCAATGCTTGAAAGCAACGGCGATACTACTAGACATCATTAAAATATGATTTTGTTATATCTTAATTAGTATATTAAAGTCTAGCTCAGACGATCTTCAATTTTTTTACAAAAAAAATGTTTATAACATATGAATAGTTAGGTAATCATTTTGTAACTTTTAATAGTTAAAAGACTAAATAAAATAGCACCTTATAGTCGATGGATCATTTGTGTATTTTACCTTTTTAGAATAGTTTAGGGTGATTAAAAGTAATATCTATTCAGAATTTTCTTAGTCATCAACAATACAAACACATACAGATACAATTACTTAAACTCAATATCTCTAAAAAAATAATATTTTTTAACTACTAAGACTACTTGATGAATTATATTTTAAATATTATTTTTAATATCTTTAACACACTATATTTTAATACACAAATACAGTGACGAAATAAAATGTTTTAGGTTAATTTTTTTATTATAATTATATTAAAAAATTATGTATATATTTTATAGTAGTTTTCTTGAATAAAGAATGACCTTCAATAAGGTGTTAATACATATCACCACTTATTAATTATAAAATAAAAAAATATTAAACATCAAGGTTAAGAATCAAACCTAAAATCTCAAATAAATATGACTAACATTTAATCACCACACCAAACTAACTAATATGTTATATGGCGTATAATAAATTATTTATAGGTTAAACAAATGTTAAAATTAATTATATTTTTTTTTTAAAACTATATTATATATAACATAAAATACAAAATTATATATATAAGTTTTCCTTTTAAATTTATAAAAAAATATTTATGATATATTTATAATCATGTTAATTTGTATTATTTTTACGAACCTTGAGGTCGTGAGATCGAGTCCCATGGAGGGCATTTCATAATTTGGAGGTCTCCTACGGAAGCTACTCCAACCTAGTGTTGGGAGCAGCTACTATCTTACCTCCCCTTACCCCATTACATATGGGAACAAGGGACAACCATTTTAAAACGTGTGTGTTTTCTCACGTGAAACACGTTTGCCTTTTACTTTACTACCCATAACCGAGAGCTTTCTATTTTCCAAGCTTTTATCTGAGAAATTAAATGGACCCATGATAAAACTCAAATTTCTTAGCCAAATCTATTAGTTCCAATTCTTGAACTTGTTTTGAATTCTGCCCATGGTTTATGCCAATTGCTGGGCTGTGATAGTTGAATTCAACTCCATTCAAAAAGTTAAAAATAAAGTTTAATTTGACTTGAAAGTTTATTAACTTAAAATTATGAAATTCGATTTGATTTGAAAACTCGGGACTCGAAATCAAAAACAACTTGAACTTAAACGATTATCAAACCTGACTTGATTGAAACTCAAACTCGAGTTTGAACATAAACCTTAAGTACATGAAAAATCTAATATTAAATTTTAAAAAATAATATATAAATGTTAATATTATTAACAATTTAAATTAAAAAATAATATTTTTTTCGAGTTATGTATTAAGTAGTTCACTTCAATTCATTAAGAAATCAAGTCCAATTCAAACTCGAATCAAATACATTTTATTCAAATATTAACCGAATTTAAACTAAATCAAACTTAAATAACCCGTAATCTTTTATCATCTCATTTACAGCCCTTCGCGTCACTACATTAAATCTCCAAATTCCAATCCATTGTTTTTCATGGTTTCTTACTGTTTTCAGCCCAACACCCTTTATTATAATGGTCATGCTCGACATCCTTTTAATTTGAGATTTAAATTATAGTTGCAGACACTTTTTCTTTAATTTCTTTTATATTTAGCCTGATCGTTACCGTAGACAAATAATATTAAAATTAATTAATAATATATCAATAAATATTTAATATAATGATAAAATATATTATATTCTTAATAAAAATTAACTTCAAACCATAATAATAATATTATTAAAAATAGATGTCACAACGAATGGGTTTGTTCAAGTGATAAATAACTTGATATCGCTTAAGCATTTCTTAAGTTCAAGTCTTTATGTATGCAGAAAATTCCTGTTGGAAGACTCGTCCACCCCAACCAGGTGTGCGACCCCAGTTAATCTGGATTAGTAAAGGTGAAGCCTTAAGAATTGGGAGAACAAATGAAAAAAAATGTCACAGATTTTAATAACAAATTTATTGATTTATCCATCTTTAAACTATTTGTAAATGATTAGTAATAATTATCATTACCATGCAATTACAAGTCTTCCTAATGTGAATGAAAAAAGAAATCAACATAAATGTATTTGAATTTGAGACGTGGTTTAATTTATATTATTGAAATTTTAATTATATTATTGGTTTTTTGTTTTAACTTTAATTATACCTTAATGCTTCATGTTTGCATTTTTTAAGAAATAGAAAAAATTGATTCGAAGTTTCATCATGTCTGCATGTGTTGTGAGATCGTGGGATTGTTTGTCCTTTGGAAAGACATATTGCCTCCTAAATCTACCCCGAATTTACGTGCTTTTGATATTGATGGCTGGTTGTGTACAAATCTAGCATCATATGCTTCATTTGATGGTTTTGATGTTTTCTGAAAGTTTCTATGTTTCTCATTTATATGGTAAATATAGAAGAGACAAAACGACTGTATTCAATGATACTTGCTAATAAGTTGATGTGATGCTATACTGTAGCATGAATTGAGCTCGATATTTTATTGGTTGCCGGAATTTTAGTGTTAATCCTCAGTTGAGTTGCATCGAAGACATCATGTGGCAAAGGTTGTCGGGAGGATGTTTTTTCTCTCTTTATATTGATGTTTTTTTACCGGAATTTTAGTGTTATTGCTCTATATTGATGGTGTTGTTGCTTTAACTGTTTTGTTTAATAAAATTTTCTTTTTTATGAAAATTATAAAATATTTTTATTTATCCTTCTAATACATTTTAATTTTACTTTTGCAAGTTCTTTTCTTTCTTCTAAAATTGGATTAGTTTATCAGTTTTATAGTTGTAATTGTTAGATTACCGTGTAAATATTACTCCTTGAAAAGTTAAACATTTATTTTAAAGAAAAATAGATAAAAATATTTCTATTAATTGTTAAAGTTTTCAAAGTGACCATTTAAACGAAACAATTTTAAATATAAAAATAATAAATTTATTAAGACATTCAATTCTATAAAAATGAATTGGATTTTTTTTTAAAAAAATATTAGACAGGGTTTACTTTTGGTAGGGATTTTATTTATTATTTTCTTGAATATATATATATAACTACAATCCAGTGAATCTTATACCGGCAGGGCAACTATATAAATAAAGTAGGGAGAGAGATTATGGCATTTATCAATGAAAATACTTTCAGCGAAATCAATGATTCATATAATCTCCATTTGTGCATTCAAAATTAATTATCATTCAGAGTTGAAACTTGAAGATTCCAACACAACTAGCTCCTTCAGAAGATGAATATATATATTCAAGCATAAAACATAGCAAAACGACATCAATGATTCACATAATCTCCATTTGAGCATTCAAAATTATCATTCAGAGTTAAAACTTGAAGATTCCAACACAACTAGCTCCTTCAGAAGATGAATATATATATATATATATATATATATATTCAAGCATAAAACATAGCAAAACGACATTTGTTGTAATTTCACACTCTAAACCTATTTGGCATTTAAAAATTGCACAATCATTCATTATTATAGGTTTTCAAGATCCTTCTCCTTAAACACAATCTAATTTCTCCTTAATGTACACTAACCTTTCTTTCTTTCAGGGCTTTCTTAGCACTCTTATTTCCAAATCAAAATTACATCAGTTTTGCTATGAGAGACCCAAACATAGTTTCAATCCCCTAACAAACAGCTCTACTATTTCATCCCTCTGCTGTCACCAGTAGTTTTGAGCTTGTAATTATGTCAAAGCTAAACGATTTTGCTCCAATTTAAGATGTTAAAAGTAACTCGGGTGTAAATTGTCTTCACTTACTCAGTTGGCAGCCACTGAGTCGGTTCTTGGACTCGCATCCAAGAGTTGATGCAACTTGGCACCGGACTTTTTCTCGTACATTTCACTCTCTTTACCTTCGTTTTTGTTCGTAGTGATTTCCTGTGCCTGCCCCAGTTGAGCAGCTTTCAGTCCCTCCTGTATCACAAAAGACTTTGAACAAGTCATTACAAGAGGTATGGCAATTTTAGAGTTAAGGGGGATAGATCAGGCAAGTGCCAAATTAAAATCGAAAAGGTACAGAAGGAAGCTTAGACTGCAAACCACTAATGAAGCATTTTCTACCCTTAGTTTATCTGATTTTTCAGTTAGTTGATTTATTTCAGATCTGAGTGTTGCATTCTCTGCAGTCAAGGACTCAACTTTACGGGCAAGCTCTTCTGTCTCGGCCTACAAAATAATAATATGGCATCAGCTTCAGATTATTCATTGTTATACTTCAAAGAAGGAATTTCGTAAGTTTTTAAGAATGCGATAAGCAAAGGTGTAATACATATTTCTTGTACCTGCTTCCTCAACCTTGACCTTTTAGCAGATTCTCTATTAGATTGTTTCCTCCTCTCGCGTTTCAGCTCCCGCTCATTCTGGTTAAATCTCATTTATGTTAGCAACAGATTAAAATAGCACAACCCAACGTATACAACACTAAAATGTGCATTAACTATCCACATTCAAAGGGATTAACTACTTCAGAATGCAAAAAAGTGGATTCAAATTATAAGCTAAATCACATAGTTCAGATGAGCAGGACAGAAGTAGAAATACAAGAATTCCACTAACCAATACCTGCATCCAAACTTCAGTAGGCATTACCCCACAAGGTACGTACGTAGGACTGGATTTAGCATTAATAGAGGGAGGGTTCCTAAGCTCCAATGCTGTGCTCATGCCGGGAGAAAGTACAGCTCCGATTGGTTTGGGAGAGAGAGCTGTAGTTAACTCCCTTGCAGCAACTGCATTAGTAGGCTTTGCCTCATTTTTCCCATCTCCACCTGCTAAAACAGAGACAATAATCAATAAACCTAAACCTCCAGACATGAAGGTGGACCAAATGTATCCCAAGATGGAATAGTATTATTCATTCTTTTCATTTTCTAACACAAGTTACTTTTAGAAATCACAACAATACTTTTGCTTATCAAGGACATGAATCTAGCCTAGGTAGTGTACATTAAAGGAACCATGCAATTGCAAAATGCCTCAGATTTGACAACTACCCACTACTGTACAGAAGTCTGACTAAAACTTCAGGTCAACTATATTATTCATCAAGAATATACGTGGTGAAGAATGGAGTCATACCAACGGTTGGTGTTCCCTCTCTGCTTCTTTTCCGTCTACTTTGATCCGTCTGACCAAAGATGCAGAGATAAAAATAAGCTTTAGCATTTTGTCCTTAAAATCATTTTCTAATATACCAGTCAAATAAAACTAAGAAACAGAAAAGTTGCTTGAAAACAGGTAAACCAGATGGGAAGGAGATCTTACCCCAGTCGTGTTCCCATCACTACCATCAGTAGAACCTTCAGTCTCCACACTGTCCACATAATCAATAAATAAGTCAAGCTATGAGGAAATGGCCTTTGGATGTGTAATCTCTAACAAATGAGTTGCTATGGCAAAGCTCTTTGATCTTCTTAAAATACTAGTTTTCCCTGAAAAAATTAACAAACCTCTGGGACATTCTAGGCTCAGCGGTGCCCTCATCTTTCTCAGCAGTACCATTGCCTATTGACATAGGAAGGCCATCAAATCCTTTCATCTTTTTTGTTAAACCCCGTTCTGTATTACCTGATGACTTTGTAGGAGTTTCCACAGGGGTGGCAGTCTGCAGTAAAATGCTCCTGTTATATTCAGCACTTACAAAACACAATATGCAAAAAGTAACATCCCCAAAAGTAGTATATGTGCATGTGCATCCACAATAAGCATGAATAAAAACAAAATAGCAACGGTTTGAAATGAATCACTCAACAGACAACTCACTGCAGGTGATGATGAAATATCATGACCATGTTATCCTTGGATTTCAAGAGTAAACAGATAAAAATGCATTAAGGTATAATATGGTACAATAAAACCAGCATTTCGGATGTTATTTAGCATTCATATCATACCCTAAGGGAGAAAAAAATGCAAATTTTCTTTATTGTGTTGCTAGCTGTACCATAAGAAATCTACTGAGTATGACCAAGTTGGCTGTTGTATAAAACAGACAACTGTCAAGATATATGGCAGAAGAAAAAGAGAATTATGTGAGTATATTCCCTATACAAACTCAAACATCAGAAACTACACATACTTAGTAACTCAGGAAAAGCTAAGTTCCTAGATAATTTGGTACAAAATTAATACTGTAATTAACAGATAGTGACAAAGTAAACTTACTAAAGGAACTGCAGTATGGGCATAAACTCCCCCATGCGGGTACATTGTTGCATAAGGTGTCCCATAAGGTGACATCATCGGCTGAAAGAGTAAACAAATAAGTATTATTAATATTTTTTACAGAGATATTCAGTGATGAACTTAAATGAAGTTAAATGCCTCAGAGATGTGGGCAATACCTGTGGAGGACCCCACATATAAGGGGGAGGAACATGGCCAGCTGCCACAGCCGAGTTGTAATAGGGTGCCATTGCGACTCGAGGACCATAATATGCCTATATATGTAATATAGAACCATGAAATCCCCATTAGCAATTTCATTAGCAACAGTGTGCAATTTAGTTGAATAAATGTCTTAACAACAGAAGTGGGAAAGAGGGAAATGCATGAATAAGATGATAACCTGCATAGCTGCCCAATCAGGATATGCCTGAATATTGGCCTGATCCTGTGAATGGAAAAGTATCGACCAGTACTATGATATGAGCATAAAAATTTAATAGAATAAACACAAAGCAACTTGTGCAACTACTACGTTAGAGATCCTTTCCCTAATTCAATTTGGATAATCATAAACAGTATAGTAACTGTTTTTTTGTTCTAGGATTATAAGCTCCATTTTATCTCTAGTTTCAACAATTAAACATGCATAATAGCTTAGCTTACCGTTTGCACCGATGAAGATGATTTTTCAGAATTAGACTTTCCTTCGTCACTTTTTCCCATTGTCAAACACCAAATCTGAAAACCTATCTTCTAGAAATTTATTTGCCTCTCTGTCAACTGCAATCAAGGAGGGAAACATTAACTTGTGCATCACAGTAAAATTTACGAGAGCAATAGAAAGGGTTCAGAAAAAGTATTAACAAACAAAAAAGGGTTAAACAGTACAGAAAGTAACTTTTCTCTAATACTCTTCATGCAAAACATAAGCCGGTGGTTTGACTTGGAGAAGGCCAATAACCCCCCATGTTGGAGTGCAGACCCAACTAATAAGATGTTGTTCAATGCTTAAAAAACACAACATCAAATTAACAAAAGCTAAACTTGTAATCCTTGAACTGGATTGATGCATGTCAATAGCTACCCATAGCAACAATCATGATTTCCAGATATCTAATTGTTCATCTTCGTGTTAATCCAACCAGCTTCATATACAACTCTACATAAATAAAAACGAGTGTAGTATGACGCAATATTTAATGTTTCATTTCCTAATATCTTATCAAATTAAACCAAAGTCTTGTCGGGCTCTTTAAATATAGGATTTTAAGTGTAAAATCCAACAAATCAAATCTGGCCTTCTAATAACCAAGTTTCAGAAGATAAACCAATATTGAAACTCGACTCCTCTTAAGACTTTAACCGTATGCTAGCACTCTTGGCGGCTTTGGTAAGATAAGTTGGCATAAAAGCATGAACACAAATAGGGTTCTTTTGAAAAGTTGATGTAACCAACAAAGGGTTTCATTAAATTTCAGTAAATATAAATTTTCATTAAAAAATAATCCCTGAGAAGAAATTTTTGAAGTTTATGTTCACAAAATAATAATAAGAAGAAGAAGAAGCCTTATATCACAAATAAGTACCAAAATATACAACTTTTTGATCTAGGTACCTGAAGGTTTTTTTTTTGTTTTGTCAAAGACGATAACTTTAAGTAATCAAAAAATACTTTAGTACTTAGATGAATAAGTTAATACTTTAAGTATTTATTTGTGAATAAGCCTAATAATAATAATCCTTTGAATGAATAGATATGTTAAGGTGCTTAACCGAAAAAATATGGAAAGGAGGGGGTATAATCGTCTTTCAAGTACCCACTCCTAAAAGTTAAGAGCAAGAACAACTTTCGAAAATATAATCCACCGGATTAATCTAACAACTAAATGACAAAAATACCCTTGAGACGGCGGTCGAAGATTTCTGCACTTTTCCTGCAAGCTTTTCTCTAAGCAATTACTTTTCGTGTGGATTATGAATGCTTGAAACTTATTCAAAATCTGTCCGTCAAAACAGTCGTGCAGATTCATAGTTCCTCATAAAAAATTTCAACGAACTTAAATAGATCCATGAAATGGTAAACGGTAAAAGTTACAAAAAAGAACCAGGAGATGAAGGACGTATACGAATACTTTTTCTAAATCCTACAATTTTCCGTTATATGTTTTGGAAAAGTTCAGTTCAGTAAGGAGTTAGAGACTTTTTTTCTTTCTCCAGAACAATTAAAAACTTGAATTGAATCCACAGCCCTACATTACCTGACAACTATTTTTCAAAATAAAACTCCAAAACCAGATTTAATTCCCAAAAGACAAACTTTGCCGCACGTTCATCAGCCTTATAAACAACCAAAAAAAGACAATAAGCACAATCCACTAACCAAATATATTGGCAAACTCCAAGTTATTTTTTTGAAAAAAAAAACAACGGGACCTTAATTTCAACATACCCGAAAAAAGCAGAATCTTGAAACCCTCCTCCTCTCAGCAGAGAACGCCTCAATTGGGAAAGATAAAATTCAAAACAAACTAGTTAAGAAGAGTGCATTATATTGAGTGAAAAAACAAAGAGAAAAAGGTTTGTGTATTTGTTTTCAAATTCCGTAGAAAGAGGGAGATATTTAAGAAGGGAGGGCGTGGGAAGGAGAAGGAGAAGGAGAAGGAGAGGGAGAAAAGAGAAGAGACAAAGGCAACAGCCACGTCACCAAAAAACGTGTCGTGGAAAAGGCACGTATATAAATACAGCGTATATACGGAGGGGGCAAAGTTGGGTTGTTGCGTTGGCCATTTTTATTTATTCAAAACATCAGATATACCCTCCACGTGTTGCTTATTTAGTCCATCTACGCATATCGGGTAAAGGGGTCCACCCTATTCCACCCCTCATGTGGGCTTACGTGGTCATGTTTCGTAATTTACATTTTTATTTTCCAATATTTAATTCAACTCTGATTTAACAAATCCTTTGGAATCCACCAATTGCCACTTGTTCATGACCTCATTCTTCTCGTGGGACCCACGCCTGTCAATTAAGCAATGTTACCAAAACCGGACGAGATGGTTGGTTTACCGATTACATGATGCGGTCAACCTCTAAAATCAGTTTTACAATAAATCGTTAAAGAATCAATAAAATCAATTAGGAACCGATAAAATCAATGTGAATCAACTGAGAATCGGTAAAATTGGTGTAAACTATTGGTTCTATTTTTAAAAAAAAATATTAAATCAAACGACGTCGTTTATTATAATTTTTTTCGGCGTCAAATTTATTTTCTGATTTTAGTTATATAATTATATTTAATATTTTTACACTTTTACTTTTAATTGTTAAGTATTGTTTGTAAATTTAAATTTAACTTTGTATTTATTTATCATATTGTTAGGTGATAAAGATCTTGATGTTATAGACTTTCAAGTTCAAAATGATGTTATGGAGTTTTAAGTTCAAAGTGGTGATGGCGGTGATAGTTCAACTAATAAATAAATTTTTCCCAATATTTTAGAATTTGAGGGAATCAATTTCAATAGATATTATGATGATTGATACTTGTATCAATTATGTAATTTTTTATTTAGTTGTTGATGAATTTCATTAGGTATTGACCTTAAATATTATGTTGTAGTTGATTTGAATCATTTTGTTTCACTTAATATTATGGTATTTAACTTATATATGTTATGACTTGTGATATTTTTATATATTTTTAATATTGTGAACTTAAAAAGAGTGTTATATATATTAATATTGCTTTGAATATTATGTAAAATTAAAAAAAAAATATTATTTTATATAAATCGATTTAACCGCGATTTAATCCGGTTAAACTAATGAATCAATGAACTAATACCTTCATCGATTTAAGATCCGGTCCGATTTTAAAATCATTGCAACTAAGCATTGTTTTTCTTGATATTTTAATTCTCGTTTTCTTTTCTGTTTCTCAATTTGCAAATTATATTTTTAAATAAATCAATTGTAAAGCTGGGAGTTCCGACGGGGCTTGTTTCATTTTTATGCAAAATCTTGATTATAAAATAATTATTTTAATTTAAAACTAACTATTTTATCGAATTTTTTATAACTAATAAAATTAATATGGAGTAAAATTTTAACTCTCAATTTTCATATGTTATCATAATTTAATCATAATTTTAAGAAAGTTAACCTAGTTCTCTCGTTTATCAAGTTTTGAAATAGAATTAGTGGGGATAAAATCATCTCCTAAAATTTTAAATTATTATATATATATATATATATTTTTATTGATAATTTATTTCCATCTCTTATAATTTATAAGTTCATCATTTTTAAAATTTTATAAATTCATTCCTTAACATAAGATTATACGTCTGTAGCTGAGAATAAATAATTTATTTTACAGTTTAGTGATTAAGTTAGGATCTAAAATTCAAATTTAGCTAATCCTTCTTTAAACGAATCCATATGAAGCAACAGTCATGTCTGATTTCAATTTGGAATTAACTCAGTTAACAATTTGAAACCAAAGATATCTGATTTCATTTCTTTCAATTGGTATTGGTAGTACCAATACCAATATCAATATCGGGTCTTAGAGTAACATTGAAATCGACAAAAAGATTTATTCAAAGCCTCTGAATAAAAATAATTTCAATGTTAATATTGAAAGGGGAATAAGAATAAAACAGGAGTGTTTGTGCGAGCAAAAGGGGAAAGAAGAACAGTAGGAATAAGAACATTAACAATTATGGGTCTGGTAAGCCATGGAACACATTCCGTGTTATTCACAATAAGAGCAAAAAAGTATTGAAGCTACAGAAAAGATTAACAACAAATTTGAGTTTCTAAGCATGATTATTAAGGAGGTCTTGCAAATCTCTGTTTCCATAGATATTGTTTTACAATCTTTCTGGGTTTTTTGGGTTTCAGAATCTTGGTGGAATTTTATTTTGTGAATTAGTTTAATTAAAAGTTAATTACTATATATCTCTTATTTATTTTAGGTGTTTAAAGTTTGTTTTAATTAAAGTACGCGTGTAATGTTTTTTATTATTTTAATATGAATTCTGCCAGTGCCATTAAATGAATTTTGTCAACCAATCAAAATATGATACGTGACATGTTTATAAATTTTTGAAATTTTTATTTGAAAAAATCAAGAATTATTATTATTTAAAAACACCTTAATTTTCTCTAAATTCTAAAAAATATAGAATTTTTTTTTTTTTTTGAAAAAGTGAGTTTTGTATGTTATTACTGCAGGGAAACGTACAAAACCATGCCATGCCAAAGCAACAAGGAACAAACAGCACAACTACAAGATACAACCAATACAGCCATGGGGAAGAAAGCTGTCCAAGCACCAAATAATCGCCCATTGGCAGCACAGAAGATCTAAAACGCAAGGCAAAACAACCCAACATGCAATCAACAGCACCACACACCGTACCACACTTTGCTGCACACCCAAAACATGCGAGAGTTCAACCAAAATCACGCGACCAATGCATCAAAACTCAGCAGCCCCCAAACATCGAACAGCTCGACACAACAATAAACAAGGCATACAACCAACCAAAATGCTGCAAAAACGAGCCAAATAAACAACCAAACCGAGACAGCAAAACAAACCACCCAAACAAAGCTGTTAAACGCCCCACAGTAATCACCCCTTGACAGCCTGAAAAGAACCACTGCAACAACCCTTAAACCATAACCATCTCGCACATCAGATACCAATACCAAACAGCAGCAATGTAAAACATAAAAATATCCACTAGACAGAAAAACAAACACACAGAACAATCAAAACCAGAACTATTAGACCCCTACCAACCTGAGACTAATTTAACGAGCAAGATTTAAAATGGCAGCCGGATTACTAGCAACATTCAAGGGGCTGTGAGAGGCCACTTACACTTGAACAAGTGCCCAACTCTCAGCAGGATCAGCTCAGAGACCTACTCACCACTCCAGTTTTTACCATTGAAAACCGAATCGTTCCTGCAAGCCCAAACAGTCCATATTGTACCAAAAAATAATAATTTCCACAAGGGTTTGGGTGTTTTCCTTGTCACCAAAGCATCCCAAGACACTAACCAAGCCTTAACACTATTAGTCATAACCACTGAGAAATTCCAGAAACCATACCACTTCACCCAAATTCCCCAAATGATCGGGCAATGACAGAACAAATGGGAAACAATTTCCCAATCACTATGGCAGAAAACACACAAGGTCGAGCTTAAGTTTGTCACTCCCCGTTTTGAAAGTTCAACAAAAGTGGGGCTCTCTGTCTTACGACTTTCCAAACAAAACTCTCTACACTGTTAGATTGACCAACACCGAGTTTACTAAAGTAATTCTGCCAGCAAAGGGAAGCATCTTCCTTTTCCACCCATCCAGCCTCGATTTGAACTTCTCTTATTAGAGTATTATGCAGTTAAGGTTGTTATAACTGTTTGGAGGTTGTTGTAACTGATGGTTAATCTGTTATATATTCTATTGGGCTAATCAGTTGGGCTAGCTGATATTATAAATAGTGGGCCTGTCCACTTTGAAATATATGAGAGTATTTTTTATATTTTCTCCAAAAACTTTGTATTGTTCTGATTCTTTTTGGAATAACACTAAACTGTTTTCATTTCTATTGCACTTCTTCTCTCGTTCTCTACATGCTGTTCATAACTAGATTCTTAGTGGTTACTGTGTGTTTCTCCTATCATGGTATCATTCGCCTAAACTTCCTGCGGCCATTTGCCTTCCGTTATGCGTGGAGATTCTGTTCTTTGTTTTTATCTCGTGTGCCCTAATTTTTCAAATTGATGCTAGATTCCTGATGTTGCGTTTTTTATCCTTGTCGAAGTGATGTGCCTCCTTCGTTTGGTTTCTGAACAGTTCGATTACTTTCTGCCCTCTGGTCAATTGTTCGATTTGGTTCTGATTCGACTCTTTTATTCATCGATTCTGGTGAAATTGCTCCATTACTGTTCTTGATCGATCTTGCATAATGCTCTTCGATTTGTGCTTATTGCTTCTTAATTGGTCTGGCTTACTGCTTCTTCATTGTTCTGGTATACTGCTTCTTTGTTGTTCTTGTTCTGCTTTGCTATTCGTATTTCGTTCTGGTTGAAAGCTTGTGTGACTGGACTTCTGCCTGTTTCTTTTCTTTATGGCAAATACTGCCGATGACAATCCTGTTAGTACTGCTTCTGATGTCTCCTCTAGATTGTTTTCTACTAAGAAAATCAATGTGACCTTAGATGATCACAACTACCTATTATGGCATCAACAAGTATTTCTTACTATTAAAACTCATAGGCTTCAAAAATTCATAGACTCTAACATCTCATGGCCTACACAGTATGTTACTAGAGATGGTGTTGTTAGTCTAAATCCTGAGTATGAAATTTATGAAGAGCATGATGGAGCTCTTGCTTCCTGGTTACTCTCCACTGTTAGTGAGGAGGTGATTCCTCACCTCATAGGTCTCAATACTGCTGCTGAGATATGGAACACTTTCCATAGGTTGTATAGTGGCAAAACTACCTCTAGATTGATGACTTATAGGAGAATGTTTCATTCTCAGAGGAATGGAGACCTGAGTATGAGGGAGTACTTGA